TCAGGTGTTCTGAATACTCTGGTTCACTTTTTTTTGCACAACCAATGTCGAAGAATGATTCCCGCTGTATAAATACACGTAGGACAAATAACAAATCTTGAATCTAATCATTTTAAAACAATGTTTTCAAAAGTGTCTTCAATAAACATTTTCCACCCCTGCCAGGATTTGGATCAGGATTTTTCACTTAAAAGTGAACGTAGTGCCTATGTACACCATGGGTTGGGTTGTTTATTTGTTTAAATATATATTTTCTGCATTCTTGTGTGTTTTTAATTCAACTCAATTCAATTCAGTTTATTTGTATAGTACCAAGTCACAACATAAGTCATATCAGGGCACTGTACTAAAAAACAACAATCTAAAGAAGCCAGTAGATTGTGTTGAATCTTCACTTCATCACAGTCTCTCATCCTGAGCAGCACATTGGTGACAGTGGAGAGGAAAAACACCCTTTTAACAGTAAGAAACCTCCAGCAGGACCAGAACCAGGTGGCCATCTGCCTTGACCAACTAGGTTTGGGGTACAGGAAAGAGACGCAGACAGGACTGGTCCAGGTGTATTTTCCTCTGGAAGAGAGACAAAAAGGTTTATTGATAAAAATAATTACAACAAACCTGTAGAAAAGAGTGACTAAAGACTGCAGCAGGGTGAGGAGATGTGGTCAGTTTGTCCTCCAGCGGTCTAAATGTTTAGCAGCAGAAATTAGGAATAACTCAGGAAACCTTAGGAAAATATGAGACAATAAGTTCTTTAATATAAGATTGAGTTTGGTTGTTGGGACCTTAATATGTTAGAAGTAAGATTTAAAATTTTATTCTGAATTTGACAGGGAGCCAATGGAGAGAAGCTAAAACTGGAGAAATATGATCTCCCCTCATTAGAACTCTAGCAGCAACATTTTGAATCAACTAAAGACTTTTTAGAGAGTTTTTTGGATGCCCAGATAAGAAAGAATTCCAGTAGTCCACTGGGTATGGATTTTGTGTTTTGACAGCTCCACCAGAAGTAGCCCAGAAACCAAAACTGTTTGTAGTAGTTGGTCAAAGGTAAGGAACTGGCTGGTACACGTCAATCAAAAGTTTTTAGAAATTTGAGACTTGTGCTGCTCAGTAGTGGAGCTCAGATTCACCGGATGTTTTGGCCAACTAGATCCCCTCATTCCTGAAGGGGTATTAGGTTTCACTGTTTCAAATGAGTCTGTTGATGAGTTTAGGTTAGATTAAAGACACACTTGATTTGCTTTGATTTATTGATTCAAAAGGAAAAGATTACTAAAAATCAAGCCTGACTCAGCATAATTGCTGTTTTACAGCAGGTTCCTGTTCTGCAGCACATAAAACACTCAGAAATACAGCATCACAATCACATC